ATTATGTTCTATGGTAGATGCTTTGCATAAATTATTTAATCTTTGTAACAACCCTCTGAGACAGTCATTATTAATAGCCTCATTTTATAGATAAGGAAAACCAAGGTTTAGAGAAATTAAGTAACTTGGCCTAACACAACTGAGCATCAGAGTCCAGACCTTCAGCCCAGGCCTCTTTGATACCAGAACAGAATTCTTAACAACTAAGCTATACTATGATTCAGGTGCCTGGCCAGAGGACAAACATAAACTCTGGGATCTTTGGGCATTCATCCATGCCGTGCAGACCTCTCTGTGAATAGCTCTTATACATGCCAGTGTGTGGCATGTTCCTCCGGAATGAGCTTTACATGTGCACATGGAGCACCCATCCTATCATTTTTTTTTTTTTTTTTTGAGATGGAGTCTCGTTCTGTCGCCCAGGCTAGAGTGCAGTGGCGCAATCTTGGCTCACTGCAAGCTCTGCCTCCCAGGTTCACGCCATTCTCCTGCCTCAGCCTCCAGAGCAGCTGGGACTACAGGCGCCCGCCACCATGCCTGGCTAATTTTTTGTATTTTTAGTAGAGACGGGGTTTCACCGTGTTAGCCAGGATGGTCTCGATCTCCCGACCTCGTGATCCGCCCGCCCTGGCCTCCCAAAGTGCTGGGATTACAGGCGTCAGCCACCGCGCCCGGCCCCTATCATTTTTAATGTTGTGGCTTGACAGACATAATGCTTTATTCTTAGTACAAATCTCATGGCAAAATCCACTGGATTTGAGCCCTAATCAAGAGATACAGAAAGTCCAAACACTGTCACATGGATGCCAAATAAGGGTTTATTGAAAATAAACATAAATGCCCTCCATTGACTGGGCTTATAAGCATGAAGCAAAATGCAGATGCTATTTCCTCTTTGTGAGTTTTGAGGTCGTGGTCGATGTCTGGCCCTCTTTATAATCTTTAACAGCACTGCAATCTCAGCACTATGTAACTGTGCCAGCTCTAATTCTCTACTCTGAATGGGATTAAAAATGGCTTGAGACCGGGCACAGTGGCTCACACCTGTAATCTCAGTACTTTGGGAGGCCGAAATGGGCAGATCGCGAGGTTAGGAGTTCAAGACCAGCCTGGCCAACATGGTGAAACCCTGTCTCTACTAAAAATACAAAAATTAGCCCGGCATGGTGGCAGGTGTCTGTAATCCCAGCTACTCAAAAGGCTGAGGCAGAATTGCTTGAAACTGGAAGGGGGAGGTTGCAGTGAACCGAGATTGCATCATTGCACTCCAGCCTGGGCAAAATAAATTCCATCTCAAAAAGATAGATAAATAAATGAATTTTTAAAAATGGCTTGAGCCGGCCGGGTGCGGTGGCTCATGCCTGTAATCCTAGCACGTTGGGAGGCCGAGTGGGTGGATCATGAGGTCAAGAGATTGAGACCATCCTGGCCAACATGGTGAAACCATCTCTACTAAAAATACAAAAATTAGTTGGG